TAGCGGTAGACTGCAGTCGTGCTCTCGCACGCACATTCCTTGCCGGTGCAGAAAAACAATGAAGGAGGAAGGAGAAGAAATGGAATAAGACGAAGACAGAAAGGGCGGAACACAATGGCTGGCAAAACCGGAAAGAGGTACGCCCACTTCCCAAAAAAATGGCCCTCGAGAACAAGAGAAAAAAATGAAAAAAATGAAAAAAAGCGCGCACCGCTAAATCTGGAATGGCCATTGGCTAGATTCTCATGAAACCCGAGCATTGAATAGTCTCCAAAGGAATCAGCCGCCGATTTCTGCAATCCCACGGGCAGTATGGAAACGGCTGGATCGAGTATTTGCGATGCTCACTTGCTACGGCTGCATTCTTGTAATATTATTGCTCGGAAGGGCAAAGGGTAGTCGCGCATCTACCTGGAAGCACCCTGAGAATGCGCAAAACGGTATTTCGCATTCTGAGTTTGAAAATGTAAATAATATATTCTCGTAAAGAGGCAGGCAACGTGACACAAGTAACCCTAGATATCCGAGATCAATGCCCAAGATAGAAGCAGGACCTTGTGGACGTGGTCGCCATCCCTTGGAAACGTAAAACCAGATTCGGATCTGGTTCAAGCGGATCGCCGACAGAAGAGCGAAGATGCATCGTGCGTCTTTCGAGAAGCGACGAAAAGGAAGAGAAGGAGAGCAAGGTGACTTTGAAAACTTGAGCAGGCGACAGCTCAAGTTTTCCTAAGAGGGAGGACAGAGTTGAAGCAGCAGCAGAAGATGAAGAAGAAAAGGAAGTAGGGGAAAAAGAAAGCCAAGGCAAAAACGGGAAGGGCCCTGAGGAACCCGCTACCTGCGCCCTCAGGTAGGTTGCTGCCCTTTTCCATGTGGCTGGAAAGCAGAGAGTCCCGCTCTATCTGTGTATAGCGTCCCGTTGCAAAGAACGAGCATTCACTTTAAAGTCTTCATAATCCTGGCAAACCGTACGAGACACGTAAGAGAAACGTATAGGATCCCGGAAACGCCACGAGGAAGAGCAACAGCCATTTTTCGTAAAATTTTGTGACAGCCCCGAGATACCTTGAATTGTTGAACTTCCTAAAATCGTTTGGCACCCATAGAATAATCGGTGTTTTTCCGTATAACAGACTTTTGTTTGTCACGACAAAATATTTGCTATCGCAAAGCCAAACGCAAATATGGCCAGCAATTTCGTGTCCATTTATATATGCAATACGGCTTCGGATAGTCCTGAGTTTCATCCTCGATTTCCTTAGCACATTCGAGCGAACGTTTGCCACGTTTCTATAACGTTTACCTTGCGTTTATGTACTCTTATGCAGGGTTTATGCATGCACGTTTAGCAGGGTTTAAATAGGCATTTGGGCGCGTGCGAAAGAACTTGTGTATTCAGCGAGACGCTGCATACACACATTATCCATGTATACACAAACCAACGAGCCAGATATTAGAGAAAAAGAAGGGAGAGAGAGAGAGAGAGAGAGAGAGAGAGAGAGAGAGAGAGAGAGAGAGAGAGAGAGAAAGAGAGAACTTTGTGTCTACGTGTCGTCTTTACTCCCGATGCAATTAAGTCGATTCAAATGCATATAAAGTAATTAAAAATCTTTGACCGTCAGTTTCTCTGCGCGTCTTTACATTATCTAATCCATTCCTGTCATTCTCACTCTCTCTCTCTCTCTCTCTCTCTCTCTCTCTCTCTCTCTCTCTCTCTCTCTCTCTCTAATGCTTCCAACAATAACGACTTTATCCTCTAATCCGGTTTTTTATTCCTTCCTCTTTTCTGACTGGTGTCGCACACGTTCGCGGTTACTTTCGAGAGCGCGATGGAGCTAGAAAGCCTTTGTCCGAATCGGCATTCCGATGCCGAGACGCACACGGGATCTCAGGAGCGCTCTCGAACAACCAACCAACCAACCAACCAACCAACCTACCAACCGGTCGGCTAAGGAGCAACCGGTTGCTCTCTCACTCTCTCACTCGTTCACTCGCCGGGGCATCGGCATTAAATGTCCTAAAGACTGCAACGGGAGATCAGACTGCTCACCTTGAAGACGAGGCTCGAAAAAATCCTTGTTCTCTGTCTTGTCACTTTTCTAATGGCACTGCACTAATATCCATAAGGGTTTCTCACTACGGCAGTAATCGACAGTCCCGTAAAACAAGGGTGAGTTATTAGAACAATTCCTCGAGTCGTATTCCAGTCACTTTGAGGAACCTCCTTCTTCCTTCTTGCGCTTTCGGCTTCTCTTCAAATGCCGCTACGTTCTCCCCCTGTTCTGGCAGTGACACAGAAAGGAGCTGCGACCAAGAATGCAACTTAGAAGATTCGTTGGCCGCGTACGAGCGCTCTCGCTGAATTATTTGTCACGGTCGATAGAGGTGCGCGCCCGAGTGCAAGCGCCATTTTAGCCCGTGCACTCCACTCCGAGCAACTCCGAGCCTCAGGGCTGCGAGAACTTAGCGAGTGGCAACGACGGCGACAAGAGCCGGGACTACTCTTGCTTCGCCACCTTGCTGCTTATCCCCTATCGCTTCCTTCGGTCGACTTGACAGAGGAAATATCCAAGCCACTACGAGCACGAGCTGTCTCGTCGTTGCACCAGACAATCCAGATTCCTTTGGCTTCTTCCTCGTAAATCTTCTATTTCTTCGCAGACAAATTTAACTGACCCGAAAGTCTCTAGCACTCTCCATCGATCTCGGTGATGCTTGTCCAGGAATCCAAGAAATCTTAAAGAGTCAATGTGTCTTCAGAATTAAGTAGCTCGACTAAGCGGCACTTTACTCACAAGAGAGTCTTCCGAGCGTGTCCGTTCTGCGATTGATCGTCAGCTTTTCTCGAGGCGTTTCTCAACCGGAATAATATTTCCCCTGAAGGATCAAGCCGATTCACTACGAATAGATGAGATTGAGCGCGAGGCCTTTCTATTAAACGGAATTCTCGCGGATTCTTGAAGAGAAAGGACTAGGTATTCGCGCGAGCAGAGCTGCTTCGATCTATCCGAAAGTCCGTCCTGTGCAGCGAGAGCACAAGAACTGAAACGCTGAAGCGAAGCCGAGCGGAGCTTGCCCGGCTGGTTTCAACCGTACCGCTATTCGGCCCTGTTACACTAGCGTCTCTAGCTCGACGCGGCGCCCTCGTCCTTCGATTTTCGTCCTTGCTACGCTCCTACAGCCCTATGCGTAGGGCTCTACGGTGCTCTACGCTCCTACGATTCTATGCCATACTGCGCCACCACACGCGCCTCACCGCGGCAACACATTTACACTTTTTAACATGTACGCGTCGAGCACTCGGCCTTACTCTTCTTCACTCGAAGCTAGAAACCAGCCTCGAAACTTTTACGAATCTCCACGGAATCGAAGGGATCGCAGTCTTTTCGAAAGAAGCTTCACGCTCTACCGGGGTCATTGATTTTTTTGAGTCCGTCAAGTGTAATCCGCGTGCATGCGCAAGACAGCCCGAGAGCGCGCGCGCAACAGAGTAACAGTCGGAGAGTGCGAGAGAGCAGTGCGCTATGGACGATGAAATGAGTGAAACAGAGACAAAGAGATGCAGAGTAACTTGGCCGTGCTCGATTCGCTCTCGATGTCTGCTGCGCGAGAACTTCTCCCAGTCTCAGATATCGGATTGGAAGGTATCTTGCGTGGGGTCATGAGCCGAACGATGCTCAAAGATCACATTAAACCCGTGTGTGTCTGGATCTAATCTTACGAGCAGGACTCCCAGAAGATTCTTTTCAGTTTTCTTTCCGCCAAGAGAAAATCGAATCGACAGTAGATTCAGCGAGTCAGCATTTACGACCATTCGATTATCTTCACTTCGATTCAAGCTGAGTTGATGCGAATCGCGAGTTGTCTTCCGTCAATCTTACCTCAGACTGAAACTCTCTGTCCGCTCCGGATGAACTCTGAAAATCTAAGCTCTGAGATCCCACAAAAAAAACACTTCTGCGTAAGATCACGCTACCCGCATTTAGGAAGAGAACAATTTAGTTTGTAGTCTGCGTTGGTGGGCCCCAGCTCACCGGATCCATCAAAAACCCGTCAGTTGTTTCTTCTATATGGCTTTCTCTCTTGATCCGTCGACAAAGCAGCCTTATTAATTTTAGAGTTGTCGTGAAAACTTCCGTAATTACGGGCGTCGCAAAGCGTCGCGTCGCCTTGTCCCGGGAATCGAAATCCATGATATGGCGCGAGACAACAATCTAATTGATATGTGCCTTGTCCCACCGTTAAGAATTATCATCGTCCCAGTCACGCGGATTAGTGCAAGACGCACGTACGCGGCTTTCTTGCACAATTCAATTCTTTTACAGCGACCTAACCGGAGCCTTGTATTGGAATCATCTACTCGTCGTCACGTTATAATGTCACACTGTTTATTTCAGTCCAGAAAATTGCGGTACACTGTGCATCGTAACGCTTCGTGGCATTCGCCTAATCGAGAAATAATTGTCTGTACTTTGACAATGTCCTAAAGAAGCATAATGGAAGGAGAACCGTCAAGAAAAACGATATCATTCGTTGAAACGGTCGCGGTGACTGCCAAAGACAGTCGACGATAAATGAGGAATTTTTAGGCTCTGAAAGAACAATGGAAATCGAGTATAAAGACAAAGGAGCCTGTGCTAAGATTTTCTCTCTGGCAGCATTATCATGCTAACTTGCTTAGCGGTTCATTAGCAAAATTAGAAATGATGCGAGGCAGATGGGATCTTTTCCAGATTTCATGTACTTACGCAAAAGGAAGCAATGCATCTATCAGTGATATCAGTAAAAAAAATAAATAAAGCTTTTCTAGGTATAAGATTAGATACTCCTTGTTCTCGATACGAGGGCGGCTATAGTCACTTGGCGTTGGTGTTGAACCCTAGAGGGAAATCGGTAATTGATTATTATGTTATCTAGACGAGAATTTCGCGATCGCATACTCTTAGATTAATAACTCACTAATTTAATAAATGTTGCTCGAGGCTTAACGAGAATTTGTCTATCAGTAAGATATAATTTAATCTATAGTTAATGAGAATTTAATATAAATTTCGTCTCAGACTAATATATTTATAGAGCAATCAATATGGGCATAATTTAGTATTTCCTTCAACAACAAAAAATTATACTGTACATGAAACACGTCGTTAAGTATATACATCTTGTCTCCTATTGTGGTAAAATCCTAAAATGCTACATATCTTTACATAACGAGGTAAACGGTGGACCTGATTTAAACCATGACCAATGGAGAAACCATCTGAAAACAATGAATGGTAAATAGGAAGGTAGAAGACGAGACGCCAGGATACTATTTCTTCTTGAATCGTGTTTTCTTAGATGCGCTCAACGAAGGCGACGTGATTGTTCCTGCGGCTACCAAGGAGGATGCCAATTTCGGATTCAATTGGTTTTTGTGCTTTTTACTCTCAACGTGTTGAGCAAAACTGCTCTCGGAATTGAGAGATAAATTACAGGGCGCACAATAATATTGGCCTGAAATGAAATCGAGCAGAGTAAGGTAATGCGCATCGAGTCGTTAAATGCAAGCTACTTTAATTAACATTTTTTGCGATAAGACATACCCGAGGGTGTTCTGTAAATAGAGTAATCAATCGGGCCAGGAGCTGTTGGCATGCTTTCGTTATCCTGAACTAGAATGGACAATTAACGAAATTAATACTGATGCTTTCAAGAGGATTGTTACGACGATCAGCCGACTATAATGTAGTCGCATTTCTCACCCGGTTCAGGTAAAGGCAACCCGTTTAGCTTCAACATTCTGAGGTGTCTGGCCCCGCGTTTGTGCGTCTCCAGTTGATCCTGTCGATTCGCAGACACCCCACACAGATCACAGCGCAATGGCGTGGGATAGGGAGATGGTGTATAGAGAGAAGTCGTTGATCTTGGTGCAGTGATAACAACTGGGGATGGTGCACTCTCTGCAGCTGCGGTTACCACGGGTACGATTTGAGGCTCGTTCTGAAAAGCCACTCCTATTCCGAACCGCCCTGTAGAATCCACCTGACTGTATTGATTCTGATTGGAAAACTTCTTTGGTGTCCTGTGCAACCCATTGAATAATGAAGCATACTTCTAAGGATATATATGTGTGTGTGTATGTATGTCAATCGGCAATAGAATGTACAATACCTAACTCGCGGGCCTCCGTTGGCTGCTCTGACGTGTTTCTTTCCGGCGTAATGCTGCGTCGCGTCAGTTTGCGACGTGAACCAAGTCTTACAGATCTGCCGAAAACGAGGAGCATTGAGAGAGGATCCTAAGAGTCAAAATGACAATATCAGGGAATCCCAGAAGAGTACTCACGTCGCAATAAGTGTTCCACTCGTTACCGGTGGTACTTGAGACTTGACCGTCCTCGGATTTGAGTTTTTTAACGCTCTGATTAAGAAACATGGAGACCTTCTTCTGATGTGGCTTCCCATCGTAGTGAAGTTTCGCTTGGAGCGAAGAATTCATCTGGAAAGCCGTGTGGAGTGATTGTCTTGACGATCGGCATCGAATCAGAGATGCGCCGATCCCACTTTCATCTCCGAGAGCAGCTTCGGTTCAGCCCGCATTTATTCAAATAAGAAAAATATCGTTAAGAGCAATCAGAGGTCTTTGAAACAGCCGACAAGCTGCGATTTCCCTGCTCTATATCTGAAATTGTGGCCAGCACCAACTCGCTCTATACGCAGATGTTCATATTCTCTGATTATCCGCATGAGAATTTAGCTATTCTAGGATCGACGCATCCCAGCTGGCAGCAGGGCCCATCGTTTCAGGACCAATGAAAAATCATCCTTACAACTGCGTTACACAGGTCGCACTTGAGCGGCTTCATCAAGGCCGATAGTTCCCTCTGCGCATTCGCGACTTTTTCTGGATCAACAAAAGAAAAAGAAATGCAATTTCGTTAATTCATGGGGATTCATTTATGGACATGTATTTACTATGCAATTCTGTTTCCAAGGATAGGAACCATTTTCCATTCTCCAACCCCATAAAATCTAAACTGATCAATAAAAATTTAGTCACTCTGGATTATTTCGAAACATTCTGGATATTCAAGAGATCTTGGAAAACGTTCCTACCTCGGTAACTCCTGATCACTCGGTCGGAACGACGCCAGCAGAGCTTTCGGGCGCTTCGTGAATTACCTGCATCCTGAGCGGGGTCAATGAACTCGCTCTTGCGTTTGTAATATTTGTTCTTGTTCTTTCCAGAGGATTGCGATGCCGACACCGACGCTGTTGAACCTGAAGATGAGGCTGTGGTCGTTGAATTGGCAGTTGTCGCATTGTACGACGCATCGTACCACTGACCGTACTGAGAAGCATCATAAACATCCGAATCGACTTCAGCAATCCACCAAGGTGTCACTTCAGGAGCCGGAGATTGTCCAGCTACCACAGGATGTGGAAAGTACGAGGAGGTAGAACGGACACTTGGAAATGCGCCACTTTGCACGGTACCAGCTGTTGTTGTATGCAATGCAGTGGCAGTCCTGCTCGAAGAAATTGCCGATATCGCCGAATTGTCACGAATCGCAAGATTCGTACTGGAAGCGTCCGTTGTCGAAATTGATATTTTATCCTCTACCCTGCTTCCCTGTGGACTTGTCGGAGGAGGTGGTGGGGGAGGAGGAGGCGGCAACAGACACTCGAGTCCTGTCAAAAAATTCCAAGATAACACGCGACTGGCAACAGGCATTTCCTTGCCTTTGCTATTTCGGCAATTTCACGGTACACTTAATATGTTGCACACTGACAACTTTCAGTTTACTGCAGGCCATCTGAACGATCGAATGAATTTTCAATGAGACTGTCGACTCACAGAGAAATTTTCTTTCATTCATGAACATAAGAGGCAATCCGCGAAACATTTTAGGCTGCTCTTATCGAGAAAGAGAAAAGATCTTCCCGCCATTGTCCAGTATCAGGAAGTATCGCACACATAATTTTTCTGGACAGTCACCTTCAAGGATATGACTTACCTGGTACTTCTGGATTCTCAATAGCCTTGGATGCAGCCATGGTAGACACGAAATTTGGCGTAGATCACGTTGGAGCGAATGCAAAATATGAGCTGCAAACTGTCCTAATGGTATTTTTTTAACAGATGAACTCGGCAGCACACTAGTGCATTCAGAGTCGATCTGGACCAAGCCGAGGCAATGAAAATTCCATTGACATTCAAAATTTCGAATGCCAATCTATCGATTCCTCCGAGCACACTTTCCGTGCTGCACGATTCTAAGATGAGAGGTTAAAATGTGTTTGACAGGACTGTAGAACTACGTTACGGCGTATCGACCAGCGGCATAAAATGGCCGACACTACTACGTTCGTCGTCCGCATACATCGCACTCTATTCCAGCAGCAGTACGAATTTGTAGTAATCAGTTCTAACCTGAGTCGGCAGTAGTCTACGGGTAATTCACGGCTTTCATCCGACGAGAGGCCTTCGATCAATCATGGAGGAAACACACGAACTATTAAGACTATTTGGAGAAAAGATTGAGGCCGGCCACGCCATGGTTAAACGTTTAAAAGTCACGAAGAAACTTGACGGCATCGACAAGTTCATACGCAAAATTCAGCAGGAGATACGATTTCTGGAAAAGGTATGTCTTTCCGAGGAAACACTATTTAATTCCTTCGATGCCATTATTGGCCCTGAATATAGACGTCCATTGTTAGGTTGAAGTCTGTGTTTTCGATGAAATTTAGCTTCAACAGTACCAATCAGCGTTAGACGGCTCTCGCGTCATTTTAACTGAAAGTAAAAGTCAGTAGGTGAACTCGAGCAGAGTGATCCGAATGCCACAGCTGCGGACATCTGTATTCAGTGGGTGTAGTTACTTGAGTCAGTACAGTCGGTATGTCAGACTCCTTTGTAGTATCCTTACTTACGATGCCTCTTAAGAGAACTACAGCTTTCCCATGTTCTTACAAAGGTACGATCTACAGGGAATATCAAGAAGGAACACCTACAGAGCACCAATCTTATACACCTGAATGCTATAGGCGAAAGATTGCTCTCCTCGGAAAAGCCTATCGCCATCATGAAACCATTTAAATTGCAAAAATCTCGACTGGAAGTTGACATAGTCTGCGATTCCGGATCCACCTGGATAAAGGTGATTGCGCGCAACGCGAAAGCGCTCACTCTAATCTCCTTGGGAAATGGAGAATACGGACAAAAATCCGTTTTGGATCAGGCGGAGTCTTATCTAAGCTGCGCTAGAGGTCATCCTCACTTGTATCGAGCACCGGAGGTTGTATTCCACTTTGCCTATGGGATTGAAGAAATGCTGGCAAAAAAACTGGAGCGTCTGGGTATCGTTGTAGAGGGCACACGAAATAGTAAGAAAACGATAATAATTAATATACATAAAAAGCAGATAAAATCTATTTTCCTTTCTACTTTCATATTCTTACTGCAGACGCAAGAGACGATCATGTTTTGGCCGAAAAAGTCTTCCCCTTCGAATCAGAGAACGAGTCTAGTGATTCCAGTGACGAATCCAAGAGAAACGGTGCATCAGCTTCAGATCTAATAATTAACAGAGTCAATGTGCAGGAAATAAAACTTCTTAATCTGGATGTATCTACCCTCTTAGCGTATGTGACGAATATGACCAACGGATATGCACATTTCCTATACGAGGAACCATTACTTTCTATGCAAGCCGAATGGGAAAGAAGTCGACCGGTAAAGCCAATTCTGGATAAACTTTTCGAAGGTAAAGATCTCGTAGTCTGTCAGACGGCCTTTGAGAATTTTCGAAATATTATCGACGTTATCGGCGGCCCTATGGAGACCGCCAGAGCGCAGGAATTTATCAAGAGAGTCCGAATAATTGAGGATATTTCGAAGGGCCGAGTTATTGAGAGACTTCCTCTGGGAGGAAAGATCAAAGACAGATCGAGACTAGTATTCGCAACTGGGGAAAACGTCAAGGGCATCACTGTCTCTGCAAACGAAGGATTCGTGAGAGCAGCACGAATGCAGGTAACCACCATTAGCTCTCACTCACTTATCTCGCTGTCACCTTCGTATTTATTGAGCATCTTCCAATCTAACATCTTCAAATGAACAAATTTGATACCAGGGAATCGAATGTGCGGTCTTCCTTCACGAGCCTCGATCGCTCTCAGAAGTCAAGGAATCCCGCGCCACGAAGATGGACCTCAGGTCATTCTGACGTCACAGCTCTACCCCTCAGACTCGACAGACTTGCCAATCAGCTCCATCCCGAACTCTAGGAAGGTCAAGGTTGCGTTAGAGTTACTCGCTAATCACTGATTGTCAGTCGAACGAGGCTTCAAACAATATAGCATTACTTTCGATAGCTTTCAGTTTATTCGGATTTCTCTTCTTGGCCAATTCGATCAATTCTTTGCTCCTTCCTCGATTCCGCAGACGCTCTTGACACTTGGCGCTGTTCAAGAGAGCCATGAGATTCGAATCGTTCAATCTCAAGGTCCACTCGTAGTCCTGCAGGGCGTTGTCAAAGAGGCCCAATTCCATATACGTTAAGGCCCTCTTGTTCCAAAGCAGTATGGAGTCCTTGCGCTGTTCCAAAGCTTTACTGTAGTAGGTTATGGCTTTTACGTAATTTTTCACTTCAAAGGCCCCGTTCGCTATTCTCCTGAACGTCTCTGCTCTCTCGTTCCTCACTTTTCGATCCTCCGCACGTTCCTTCGCATCCTTTTCCATGCTTCTCATAAATGCCCCTGCCAAAATAATTCGTTATTCGTCATTTTGCGTACACGCCTATACTCATAAAATGTATACACATTCACCTTTCTCGGTCACCTGACCATCAGGCTGGTTGTCGGCTTTCGCAATTTTATTTATTACAGTTCGATTTGTTATGACGCGCAAATCGTCGAGCCCGGACATTTCCCTCTTTGATTGGCCATCCAAAATTCCGTCGGCCATGAATTTACCTTGCTCCTGGTCCATCGGATCGGATGACGCTAATTTCTTCACGATTTTATCTTCAAGTTGTAAAATTAAACTTACTGGCTCGTCACAATAGCAATCTTTTGATAAACGTACTAGATGTATCGAAAAACTTACCGATTTCGGTTACGCGATGCATAAAATTCTCAAACTCTTCTTCCGTCACGTTTTTATCTATCGTTAAATTGTCGAGAATGTTCTTTTCTTTGCCAACGTCCAACAACTTAACGTCTGTTTCTCTTCTCCGATTGCAACGATCATCCTCCATTTTTGTAATCTATCCGAATGAATTGTGAAACTGTGCCTTTTTCAAAGTCTGTCACTAGGAGCAGCGATGGTGGCTTCGTCGCTAAATTAAGGGTTATGTATCTCCTAGGAAAAAGAGGTTGTTATTCTCCCAGCAACGGAACGTATGTCGTATCCTCGTATCCTCTTGAGAGGGCCGACGGGGCCGACGGGGCCGACGACTCTCGTAACCATAGAGACAATGCGCATAACAATTGGACAAGACAATATCAAATTGAACGTGTTTCCAGTTTACTTCGAAGGGAAACTGTGCTTTTCTTCGTCTCCTTGCAAGAATAGAGAAAGGAAGGTAATGAAAAATTGCTATCGATTAATCCTTAACCATTAAACCCTTTTCTGTGTGGACACTCGCTGCAGGGCTTGCTTTTAGATACGAAGGAAGTAGCAGCCGTCCTGTTAGGAGCAGCTCTTAGGAACTCATTGCCCGAGAGACCCGAGACCGGCCTTCTCTCCCTCGGCCTCTCATCTCGGTGCTCCAGCCGTGCTGTCCTGGCGTTCTCCTCCTCCGAGTCGAAACCCAAGTCTAATTCATCCTTAATGATGACCGCGCAATTCATGTGCGGATCGTGTCTCGACGAAGATAACCTCCTTCTTTGCCCGCAAGCTTCATGAATTTCCGATGGGACACAAGAGACTGGATCACTCGCTGTGATCTCCACTTCATCCATGATGCACATTAGTTTTGCTGGAGGCCTTTTATCTTTGGAAATAGCTGAAATTATGCGACTCCAACTGATTGCAGGATCGACACTGCTCTTTCTTTTAAACGACTTCGTTGGGGCAAAGGATCTCTTGCAGCTAGTGCTGGGTGCGTCGACGTCATTCGATGGACCCGCAGCACTCGATCTGCAATTGATTGGACGTTGGCTGGATGGGCTAATTATTTTAAAGCTTTCTTCGATTCTCTTGGCAAACTCATGAATCGCTCTATTCGAGCTTTCCAGCTTGTTAATAGCCTCGGAAATCCTTGCACTTGAATTTACAAAAGATTCTCCTGGCCGAAGCGACCCTCTGTCGCTGCAATTGGAACCAGCCTCACTATCCGAGCTGCTTTTCTTCCAGGGGACACTCGTGGTTCCCACTATTTTTATATTTCTCTCCATCTCACAATCGGATACTCTGGAAAACTCTCCAGAGAAACTAGTAGGCTCGTTCAAGGGAGTCGGGCATCGGACATTCTGCAGACCATTAACTTCTAGAATCGAAGCAATCTCCAAGAGTCGCTTTACTTCACTCTGCACCACTTGAATTTCTCCAGAGTACATAAAATTAACAATAGTCTTGAGATCGTCAGCTTCGATATCATGAAGAATAATCATTGGATGAGGATGCTCGTTGGCAACAAGGAGACGCCGGAAGAAAGGGCTCGAATTTGCTAAAATCATTTTGTGGCATTTGACAATGGTCCCATCCTTGCAAACGAGAGAAACATCGACAAACTGTTGCTTTTCATAGCACGTGTCCAGAGAAAGAGCCAACTGGGACGGGAAACTCTCCCACTTAAGACTCAGAATAGTTTCCTCCCGCATTGTTTATTAATATTATCACTTCCGTCCCTCCTAATCTTCTCATACACTTTGTCCCTCTCCGATTCTTGATTTTTCTTCGCCACTCTCTTTCTCTCTCTCTCTTCGCGCTTCCTCAAGCCTTTACCGCGGCGTACGGATGCACCTAGTCCGATCGAGCATGACTCTTTCCCCAATTATTTCCAATAATTTCCGAGCTTGAGAAATTCTATCTCTTTCCTCCTTTACTGAATGACGGCCGCGACCAGAGCCGGCAATCCAGCCGGACGTACTACCCTCCACCAGGTACTGGACCCACTCCTTTACTCTCTATCGAATCGGAAGGGCGCCGCACTGCACTGTACCGTGGATAAGATGGAACAATCACGTCGACTGTGGACTTTAGTCCGTAAGCCTTTGTTACTCTGCCGCAACTTTAAAAACCGACAGCACAGCCAAGAAGCACCGACAAGCCAGAATCTTTATTGACCCGTTAACCTTGCTTCCCGTGCCACTCCCCGCCAGAGGACTCCACGACCATCCGGAACCGTCGGGAAGTTAGCGTCAAAAGATAAAAAATTTTATATTTTTAATGCCTACAAAATTGCTCCTTAAATGCTCCTTATGTATTTCTAATTACTTCGCTGCTACTATACACGGATTGTAAAATATTTACGATAATATAAAAATATATTCTTTACTGCTATTCCACATAATCAAGCAGTTTTTCTCATATGATTCTCTGAGTGAATCAATTCCTCTCAATATACTCCATTTTGTCCCGCAATTTATTTGTTCTTTTATTAAAGCATCTTGAAATAACATTTAAAATGTAATTTCCTCTTAGACCAATTGCAAACGAAAACAATATGGTTCATTTCCAAAAACATCTGTAACAGGTACGTTCGAAGATGAGCCGAGGGCGCTGAGAACATAGTTTCAATTGTAGGAATTCAATAGTCGAAAATAGAGATTCCGCCATATTAGGGATTTATGCAGGTAGTTACTAGATTTATTTAAATTTATTCAAAATGTAAATTTGAGGTTAAATAAAAAACTTTGCAAAATATACGGAGTAGAAAACAATTCAATTGAAATTGTAGAATAT